TAGTAGTAGTAGTAGTAATCTAGTAGTAGTAGTAGTAGTAGTAGTAGTAGTGGTAGTAGTAGTAGTAGTAGTAGTAGTAGTAGTAGTATAAGTAGCAGTGGCAGTAGTAGTGTAGTACTATTATTACAGCCTACTAGCTAGTTCGAAAGCTACATAATATGATTATAAATCATACTGTATGCTATATGCTACCACGATATCGTGGTCTAGTAAATACTACTGCTACTACCACTACTACTACGACGACAACGACTACTACTACTACTACTACAACAACTACTACTACTACTACTACTACTACTACAGCTGTACTACCCCGACTATTATCTACTACCGCTACTACTACTGCTACTATTCCTACGACGGCTACTACTATCTACTACTATACCGTTTGCTCTGACCCCGAATCCAAGCCTGCTCAGGTGCCTGGTGGGCACAAGGATGTGATCGACTGCGACGACGACCTCGATGATAGAGAGCTTGTTGCGAAGCTCGAGGCTATCATCAGTGTTCGACTAGTCACTGCATAACTCGAGTTCTAGAGTACATGATCATTAGTATGGAGTCCTTCACTTTAAACCGCATAAACCCTACTCCTACTCCCACGTCCCGGACTGTAGACCCTGCACTGTACCCATGAACACTGAACCTTGAACCCTGAGCCCCAAACTCCCTAAACCCTAAGCCCCCTAAACCCTAAAAACCTAAGTAGACTCTTATTAGTGCTGGAGTATTGGTGTCCTGCAGGCCATGTTGCTCCAGACCAAGCAAGAGCAAGGGCTCGATGATGCAGCAGCTCCAAAAGTCGAGACGGCAAGCCCCGCCCGCTGCCTTGGTGCAGGAAGTGACCCCTACATGGAAGGTGTGGTGACAGTTTCTCCTGTGAAACCTTCAGACACCACAGCGAGAACTGGTGACGACAAGGACCATGGAATCGCAGAATAATCATTCTAGGGTCGTGGACAAGACCTGCAGCCGATCATGCCTCTAACTGTAATATGTCGTCAGTAAATATCACCGAGCAACCCTGCAGGATCAACCAGGCATGCCAAATGCGGTTCAGAATCCGCCGCTCCAGATCACCCGAGCTGAGGATGATGAAGGTCACGGAGAAGATGATCCTCAGAGACTTGAGGATCTTAAGCTCAGAGCAAGACGTGCTCGAATGATGAGGGCTTTGAAACGTTTCGTGTCTCAACAGATACAGTTCGAGGTTGTCATGCACATGACCATGTGTGTAATGTCATACGTAGAATCGATCCTGAGGCTCCGATGTTCCCAAACCGATCTTGGAGAAGGCAAAGATTGCCCAGAAGAGCATCTTAATTGCACTAGTGGGGACAGAGTGTGGCACTGCAAGGTTACTGTATAGCATCACATGCTCACTTCAGATCGGAAATATGGGGAACTTCTGGCCCTCTTTGCTGAATGTGGAGAGAACTGGGCCGAGTGCAAGATCAGTTCAACAACCTCTACCGATGATACGAGGGCTGTGGAGGGCGGGCAGGTGTACAAGCGATACAAAGACTTGGTTGCCGAACACGGCAAAGACAATGCCGACCGCCTACGAGCGGAGAAAAAGGCCAAGCAAAGTGCCCTGGGCGACGCCTACGAGAACGTGCCGTGGTGGTACGCCCACCCCGACTTTCTAGAGTTGGAGGAGACTGCATGTGTACTATACTACGAGGGTCCCGACATATTATAAACAATTTTTACCTTGCTGTGGCCAGGACTACGAATTGTTTCTGGTGTGGGGCGAAGCCAAAGTGTCAACGACTGCTATGCACCGGATCCACAATGAAGTCAACCATGCCATCCATGGTGATGGAACACTTGCTAAGGAACTCCTGCAGTGTCTCGTCTTGCAATAAGCCTAAATTTAAGACCCACCCCAAGTCACGCACTGTTCAATCTGTCCAAGTGTCTCAAACCATGTTGCAGATCTTGCTGGTGTGCCTTTGTTTCCAATATGGTTAGATAATTATTTGAGTGCTCGATAAGAACAAGGCTCGTGGCTTCAGGTGTGTTGGGGGAAATGATCGATAGCTAGATCGACTGCTTAATGGAGTCGTTTCGTTTTCAGCATCCATGTGTTCGAAATGTCAAAGCGCCTATCTACATATAGGTGATTTTCTGGGTGTGGTCATGTTGGGTCAGTTATTCTGTGTTGGATTTGGCTAGCTGTCCCTAAGCCCTAAACCCCTAAACCCTAAAACCCTAAACCCTAAACCTTTAACCCCTAAACCCTTCACCCTGAGGCCATGATATTCGAGTTCACGCATGGTTCGATCAATGTAGCTACGTCTTGATTCTAGATCAAGCTACTCGGGGAAACTCGTTGCCTAATTGTTTTTTTTTGGGGTTTTAGGGTTTAGGGTTTAGGGTTTCCTCTACATGCAAGCCACGAAACAATAATGTGAGCCTGAAGCTAGATGCGATATACAGCAGCAAACATAGCCACCTAAACAAAACCCAACACTACAACCCCCCGAAGATTAAGATATCAATGCTATTCCAAGGTCCGCAAAGCCGGCACACGGTGTGGATCCCACCGGCAGATGTCTCAAGCCCGCTGCATCGCGAGAGAGCCTTGCTGTCGAGGACAAAACGAAGAAGAACACTAAGGATGGGGAGAAACTGAAGAAACCACCCACCTACACGGGGAAGGCGAACTCGAAGCTAAGTGCTGGAAGATCGGCTTTGACGGATGCGAAGTTTTGGCTGAAGACGATTAAAGAAGACCAAGCATTGCCCGACCCTGCAGCACGCAAAATGACACTTGGTGTAAACTTATTAGATCGATGTTTGCAAGATCCTAACCGATTGCAATATATAGACACTCGCACATGAACCCTGAGCATCCCCTGCAATCTAGCTGTGTATACACTATCTACGTAGTACTGACACCCACTTAGCCTGACTAGCTCTCTAAACCCTAAACCCGACAAATCCCGAACCCAAAACCGGTAGATGTTCGCTGCTGCATACCCAGGTCAGCCCAGCTGGCCGACGGCTACACTTCACAGATCGAGCACTACCGGAAGCCTATGGAAGCTGCATCAGAAGCTCTCGACTGGAAGATGATCTCGGGTGCTAAGGACGAGAAATCTTTGGAACCGCTGGTCACGAAGCTCGGTAAGGCTATCGACGACTACAACACAGCCCTGAAACCGATCAAATCCTTGTTCGTTGCTTGACTTAGTTATTGCGGTGTCTAACTCATGGCCGAGGCTGTTGCATTGTGTAAGATCTGAGGCAGAGCCTGTCGCCAAGAAAAGTGCTGCCAAGAAGCCGAAGAGCAAGAAGTGAGTGACATGGGCCACTCCTGAAGAGTTTTCTGTGTGTGTGTGAGATATCACATACATCTGTGTGGTTCACCTCATTGGTCATCTGGCCGACGGCTATAACCGTGTCTTAGACTATAGGGGTTCAGGGTCATGTGCACAATAGTGGCTACATGAGTGCATGTTAACTCGGACTAGCTAGCTATTTATAGCAGGTGTCGCTGTGTTCTAGATCTTAGTATTCTGGCCATAGCATGTACAGCAGCATGTCTTGTTCTATTTAAAGTTGCAAGTCATCGTGGTCGTCGCGGCTGGTGGCCCTAGTGTTGAGGTCTGGTCCCAATTACGTGGGTTGCAACTCGAAACAGGTCAGGATAGATCCTTGGCCTGGATCATGTACATGAAACATGTGGGCAGACGGGCAGACGCCTTCCGCTGGGTGTGGGAATCCTGCACTCGACCCTGGCATGTTCTCAGTCGGAAAATCCTCGCCATAGCATCGACCACATATAATCGTACATACGGCTCTGTAGATTTATGTACACACACCCTACGCAGGCCGAACTCATGATCGCTCTGGCCGTGGATGTTTATCCCAATGCTTACACTCGATGATCACATCAGGGGACGGGTTTGCTACAGTTGCAAGTGTACACGAACTCGGAGTTTGCATCATGTTCGATTCTGGATGTATTCACACGTGGCAGGAGATCAGCTATTCTTCCGCACAGCGGGTGGCTCATGCCGCATTAGAGGACTGCACCAGAATTAGGGGTTCTGTGACGGGTGCCAACCATGATTACCTAAAGCCCTCAAGCCTAAACCCAAGCCCTAACCCCTAAACTAAACTCTAAACCCCTAAACCCTACGATCGTAAGCCCATCGGGTGCCAACCATAATTACCTAAAGCCCTGAAGCCTAAACCCAAGCCCTAACCCCTCAACTAAACTCGCTCTAAACCCCTAAACCCTACGATCGTAAGCCCATGCATATTACAGCCCTTGCACTAAACTTTGCACGCATGCAATCGCAAGCTCTGAAGTCCGAAGTTTCAGTGTTCCCAGACCCTCGATGCCGGCAGGTTGCAAGAATCGATAATAATTAACAATGCAGATATATATATATATATATATATAATCCCATCAATCGCCGGATCCAGGACTTCGATGGCCACGACATCCAGCCTGACAGACCACTGGCTGATATGGCTAATGCTGGAGCAGAAGGTCGCCACACATCCAACATAGAGAGGGATGTTTTGAGACGAGAAGGCCCGTGCCAAGCCTGATTCCCAGTTTTTAATGCTGTGCAGGGTCTGGTGCTCTATGGTTTTAAATGCAGAACCTCAGGTGCCCATACGAACAGTGACAGTGCCTGTTCGCAAACGCGATAAAGGAGTGTGGAAGACGGAGCAAAGGATCCTTGGCCCAAACCTTTGTTTCTAGATGGCTAGCTTGTGACCTCTCTTAAGGTTATATAATTATATATTATTAGAATTATTAATAGGTTGATGCCAGTGGTTCTTCCGCACGACGTCCTAAATGGCTTGCATGCTTGTGGGCGGCTACGGGAACTCTACAGCAACGAAGACCTCTGTGAATTCTGGGACAGTTTCAAGCAACACGAGAGCTCTGTTGTGCAGTGGCCTGCAAATGCAGAACGGGGAATGCTCCCCGTCGGCATCCATGGAGACGACTTCCGCTACACGGAGCACGGCCAAAAGCTTGTGCTGGTGTCGATGAATGTGTTGGTGGATAACAATATGCAGGACCGCTTCCCGTTGTTTGCTGTACGTGTCGCTGCTAGGCTTAAATATCCTGGTACAACTAGTCAGCAGAGATGCGACTACAGATCTGAGAGCCAAGGCCTTAAGCACCGGCTTTCCCACGCTGCAAGCTTTTATGGCACCCGCTTCCAGGCCCAAATAAACTTTAGTCATGCTTATGTGTGCTTTTCTAGTCTTGGGTTTAGCTGCTAGAGTCTAGAGTTCGAGCGAGGGTGCATGTTATTTTGCTAAGATTGCCGCATCTTTCAACTACTGCTGCTTGGGAGTGGCCCCGATGTACGTGGACCCGAACAACATGAGACCGGAACTGGTGGAACAATCAGCAGCTGATGTGCCGGGTGAAAAACTTCAGTTCCCTAGAGCTTACTTTTCAGAACTGCGATCGGACTGGAAGTTCATGAAGGACAGCAGGGACATGTTCTGCATGGTTTCTGTGATTTCAATAACATGCAACTGCAGGAGCTGCTAAATCTATCAGCAGCCTGGAACTGCAAAGACATCTGTCATCACTGCCTAGCCAAAGACTGCAACTACTTGAAGTTCCCTTCTCAACTACGCTATCTTCCTCGACGAGGGTGCCAGGACTTCAAGCAGGTTTGCAAACCCTACCAGGGTGTGCGAAGTGCCCTGTCATCCGCTCTATATGTCTTTAGCTTGCATTTATAAGTGTACATGTTGTTTCTGCAAGATGAGCATCATCCTCAGCGAGGCCATGTCTTGGGCATAAGGGGATTTCATCACTCCGCACTTCGTTGGTGCACCATGCATACAATCAATCTTGGACTTTGCCACTGGGCCGTGGCATCGGTGATCATCGTGCTTTTGAGGATGGAGGACAACTCGGGCTTGGGGAGTTTGTGTATCCTGCTGTGCACTAAACACATGTGACCTGCTGCATATACACAGGACATATGGCCGGCTCCAGCAAAAACTCTGGCAAAGGACGTGATGAATGTTCGTTTGTCCATTGCCCACGGCGAGTTCATGGAATGGAGTCGGGCGAACAAGATCGAGCAACGTGCTGCAATTTGGGTGTGTGTGTGTGTGTGTCGGTATATACTGGGCTGCACATGTGCATTCGAGTCGCAATATCAGGCACTCTCAGCCTGAATTCCAAGCACGTAACCTTCGGGATTCAACGACGGGTTATGCGGAGATGAACATGAAGGCTCACAACGCCCCTTAGCTAACACTACACGTTTGAGCTAGACCATGTGTGCAAGGAATGTTGCGATCCTAGGCTCGTGTGGTGACGGGATGGATATGCCATCTACTGCTGGAGCTGCACAACACCCGCGATCATTTTCGAAATGACCGAGAGTTGTCTGAAATGGTGAAAACAATGCAACATGGCTGCAGCTATGATGGTTTGATGAATGCAAATAGTCTCAAGGATCGGACACAAGTACCCTGGTAATGTGAGGTATTGGCTCAACGAGTTTTTCAATGTGATGGAAAAACACGGGCGGTTTCTCGGCCCAGCTGCCAAAGTTGAGCTGGAACAGGCATGTGAATCTTGGCTTATTTTTGTTGCTTTGTGCACACGCCTCAACATGCATGTATGTATACATCGCATCTGCATCCAGGATAGCATGTGCATGAGTTATGCCAGCCTCGCGACGATGGCAAGCCAAAAATCCGATCGTTTGTGGCCCTTGCGACCAAAACTCCATGCGGCTTTGTGGCACACATGTCACGTCAAGCATATATAGATTGCAGTCGTATATGATCTGAGGCATTTCAGGAAGCGGTTTTCATGGCCGTGATGGACGGCACCGTGGTGGCATAAGAACTTGCTAGCAGTAGCTCCAAACTAAAGCCATTTGCCGAGGCCAAAACCCGAAACATGGCCATACTTTTCGCGACGAAGGGTATATGGGCTCAGCGAAAGGCCGGCTGATCAAAGAACCATGTCATCATATTCCGAGATCATAGGATCCACTCATGTTCCCTGTGTGGCAGCTATCGCACGCAAATGTCACCGAGCTAATTTGGAATCCAGTTTCCTTCGACGTGTCTACGGTGCGTTGCTCGGCAGCATTTGGAGACCGAATTCCGCAAATCTGTTTTGCTTTGCAAGTCGTCGATATAAGGTTCCCGAATATGCCCTGATCACGATGGATGGCCGAGAAAAATGATGCCCGAGCGGATTCGACATGAGACAAACCCCAGACTTAAATCCCGAATCACTAACCCCAAGCCTTTTAAAGAATGGGTATACATATTCAGATCTTATTATATTTCTATACTTTTTTTATTACAAACAGTACATATACTCAATTCCTACTCAGAATAGACTCAGACCCTATTCTTCCACCCAACATGGACTCACACGCTGAGGTCTCGTATGTTAACACCTTTGGACCCCCTGGGTATATTATTATTATTATTCTTATTATTATTATTATTACTATTATTATTATTACCACTTTTTTTATTTATTATTCGAAATTAATATTGTTATTTTTCTTCTTCTTATTATTAATATTATTGTTACTAATATTATGATGATGATGATGATGATGATTAATACTTGTGTTTTCTATTTCCAGGTCATGCGGGCCTCTCCTTGGGGTCAATAGGGTTTTGGGTTTGGGATTCTTGGGTGCGTCGGGTCTTGCTCGTAGTCTCATCGAATCATCTGAGGCTGGGTTTTTTTGTGGAGAGTGAGCCGTGTTGGGGTTGAGGTTTGGGGTTTTCGTGTCCGGGCTTAGGGCTTAGGGTTTAAGGTTTAGGGTTTAGCGCTCATCGACATAATACCACTCTGGAATCGATTCCCGAAAACCTTAGGGTCAGCTGCGGGTGATCAAGTTCCTGGGCCCTGTGAGCTGCCTGATGTAGGTTGTACGACAGGGTTTAGGGTTTTGGGTTTAGTGTTATACTCCGGTTTTCTAGTACCGGGGGGGGCTTACTCACAGAAGGTTTCGGGTGTATATGGGTAGTTTGAGTGCCTATATCGGCTGTACAAGAAAACAGGCTACTGACTATTTCTAACCTCTACCTTGCAAGTCGAGACCTGGGCTTCAGGAGTAAGGGACTTACGATGGCTTTGAGCCTGTGGCTTCAGAGGGGTTTAGGTCTTTAGGGGTTTAGGGTTTAGGGTTTAGGGTTCAGGGTTCAGGGTTTAGTGTTCAGGGTTTAGGGTTTAGGGGCCGTCCACGATCTGGAGTCACTAGAGGTCCGCCCAATGCACATCAGCAAACCTAAAGAGACCAAATACTCGCCACGTACTTCCAGAT